ACTAAGAGGAATCAAAGAGATAGTCACTCATCCTCCTAAAGCACAGTGTGGGTTTACGAATCCAGGATTTTCTAGTGGTTTGTTCTTATCCTTATTGAGAGCCTGAGAATAATGCAAGCAAGTTCCCAAGGGTTCCAGTTCTGCAGGGAGTAGGAATGTTTTATTGCAGAGGCTGAGTGTTTGTTGCCAAGATCACAATATGTAATGGACAAAATATCCAACACTTAGAGAGGTTTAATGCTCTGGGAGAGTGATAAAGCAAAGGAAACCTTGTTTTTACAATGAGCCTGAGCCTAGTCCAGATTTTGAAGTTGTATGGCTCTTATCTTGCAGTGAATATAAAAACATAGGACATACATTCAAGGTTGTATAAACTCAAGCTGATAGGGATAGGGATAGCTCATTAGGGATATTATCCTTTACTGAACAGGTTTAAACAAATGCACCAAACAAGATTAGGTATACAAAATCATCAGCATGACCCTTCCAGTGACGTTATTCCCAGTTCTGTCTGCTAACTTGATGTGGGATAAAAGGCAAATTGGATATTTCAGTACAACAAACTAAGATGCTTCAATTTCTTTTGACAACATACTATCTAAGCAGATCCATTTTTAGGGAAATAACTAAATAAAAAGCTAGATGACAGCTTTCTAGGTCAGGAACTGCTAGACCTCCATTATTTTAAACAGCTTGAAGCACTGCAATATTCAGCCAGTGTGTGTGTAAGCTGTTTTAGAAATTTTTTACAACAAGGGTATGTAAAGTTCCCAGGCTGTGCTTTAGCAATAAAAAATAATGACTCGTGTATAAGGTGCGGGAACTGAGGGATTTTTATTTTCCTGAAGGTAATTTCAGCTTCATATTTTAAATACAAACATACTGTAAGAGCTATATTTAGTCAGCTGTTGACTAATGGCTCTCTTTCCTCTTCATGAAGTAGATAATGACTTTGCACAGAATATCAAACTCAATAGAAGCAGGACACAGAAATGGAAGAACTCTTTGTTACAGTTTTAACATTCAAAGAAAAATTGACATATTGAAAGCTTTATCAAGAAAATATAACCAGGTTTTTGAGGAGCACTGTATCTTTTAATGTGCCTGCTAGTTGTTTTCTTTTTTACTAATTGTTTTTGAAAGCTTTGTTAAGGAATTTCCAGTGACAATTTTGATAGTTGAAGCATAAAAAGCTCAGGGAACTACAAAGCCATGTAAAGGCCTGTAATGAATTCATATATTGCTACTATAACTTTCTCTTAGATATTAAGGTATCTTGCACTTCAGATGCCATCTCAAAAAATAATCTTCCTACAGGGCATGCAGATCAAATTTTAGCCAGGAGAAAGAAAATTGTTGACTTGGCAATGGGTATTTGTGACCCACAGAGTACCTTTAGAGACAGCAAAGTCATTGGTTTCCTTTTGTTTTATGCAGTGGCAGCTCTGACTCTCCTGAAATACAACTTTATTTTAGGTGAAGCTTGGGCATTTTAACTCCAATGGGTACTGCAAGTGACCATAACTTTGAAAATTCATTGTTCAGTGTTTGAACTGCAGAAATCTTATTCCTGAAAAATGGATGGAAAGGAATTACATAGAATACTATGGAATTACTTAATGGAACCATACTCTACTTGAACTAAACTTATCAAAACAAAAAGAACCTACCAAAACATGTCAATGTGACTGTACTTTTCTCCCTTTGGTGAGCAAAGAGAATGATGAGAAAACAACCAAATACGATAGTTAATATGTCTGGATCTCAGATATTATAGGTGCAGCCAAAGGATGAAAACTGAAAAGAGTCATCATAAGCATCTTAAAATTACACGCATACCCATTTTTTATATCTAAGGATCATAGGATAGCACAATACAGAGACTATATTCCACAACTGGGCTGTAAAGTAATTGAGTGTTGAGTTGCATGTGCAAAAAAATTGCTGAGAACTGATAGGGACATGCATAAATTTATATTAATTTTAATCCAGGAGGTGGTTGTTTTTTAAAAAAATCTGATGCTTCAATATTAAAATGAAAGTTCATACTTAAAAGACCTGTGTTAATATCTATTTTAAAATAAACCAAGACAAAAGGGACATATCCTGACTCTTGTGTTTATTTGTGAATCACGGACATTTATTGATAGCTGTCTTAGTGTGGCGTATCTTTAATCTACCAACAGTTTTAGTGCTCTCTTTGAAAAAAAGTAAAAAACGCTAACAGTGAAGTTTCTTTTCCTACTCTGTCATGTCACTGAGCCTGTGCTCTCTGCAGGAGATACCTGCACTCCCATACTTCAGCACTCAGAACTTTCTGTTAGAGAGCTGCAGGTGACTTTCCACAAGAGAACAGTAACATGAAGCTCTTGGTAAGGAACAGCCTAACTGAAGTGCCTAATCCATATCAGAGGATAACATCTCAGTTAAGTGTTATGGGAAAATGTGGATTTATGGGGGTGTGTCTGTTTGGAAAGCTAATTCTGCATTTTGCTTTAGATTTCCCACCACAGCAGGATTGTTAGTGTGTTTCCCAAGCCACCTAGAAAGTCTGGATTATATGTTCGGGGGAGAGTTTAGAGAGGGAAAATGTCTAGGGAAACAAAATCACCAAAAAAAATTACAAACGGTATCAGAAAGATCCATCTTTGGAGATGGTCAAAAGCCTTCTGGACATAGGTAGAAGCACTTAGGTCTGGACAGCCCTGTTTGAGCACAGGGTGTGGACCAGAAGACCTCCAGGGGTCCTTTTCAGCCTCAGCCATTCTGTGGTTCTGTGAAAAAGAAACAAAACACTGAAACGAACAACAACAATAACAAAACCTGAAATTTTAACACTGAGATCTTGGGTTCTATCTAATTGTACAACGTGCAACTGTAGACAGTTAAGTTGTCTTTAAAATCTCTTTTATTAAGTCCTCTTTCCTACTTGTATTGCAGATAGTCTCGTTTCTTTTTCTTTTCTTTTTTTTTTTTTTTTTTTTTTTTTTAATGTCTCTTATTGGCCTCTGTAGAGTTTGCAGGTCCTGGTGCGGTCAGGTCTCAGCAGGTCCAGAAGCACTGCTGCTTTGAAAAGTCAGGCTGTGTAGGGCTGTGGAAACATATGTTCTCATTTTTGGATCGTGGGAGGGAGGCATCATTTTGCAAAGTGGGAGACTTTTATCTATTGGAGCAGTCTGGGTTATGGTGAGACTTGTGAAATTTTACAAACATCCTCATCTGATGGGAATCATTAGAGCCATTATAGAGAACCTGCATCACTGGCAATTACCCTTATGATTGTATGATCCTCATTAGACTGATTAAACTCGCTTAGCACCAGCCAAGGTAGCTGTACTTCAGTGGAGACAATATGCTAAAACTTTGAGCTGATATGAATTTTAGAAGACTCGCTAACAGCAGATTAGAAATCCAAATACAAAAAGGGCAGTCCTTCCTAGTACCAAAGAAGACAAAAGCTCTGCCTCACTGGGATGAATAGTGAAACTGAGCGTGTTCCAGCAAAGCTGTTAAAGGATTCTACAAGCTTTTGCTTATGTTACAGGGTATGCAGCAAAGTGTCTATATAACAGACTTACACCTGACCTCCTTCTAGGTAGAGGCACAAGTTTTAGGTCAGTTAAGAGGTCTTTGAAGTCAAACAACAGTCAATGTGGGAGCAGAACTCATGATCTTTTGACTCCTGACAAAATTCATCCTTCTTTAACAGTTTCTGAATCAGGAGAACCTTGTCCTCTTGTATTCGCAGAGCACAGCTTGACTGGGAGCGGGCAGCCTGATTCAGCAGATGTGCGGAATGCTCCCTATACCTCCAATACCTGAGCATTCTTCAAAGCTGTGTTGAGCTTTTAAAAAATTCTCATGAAAATATGAGATGTGCATTTTATTTATTTATTTATTTTTAGGAAAAACAGGTGAATGTTGGTACAGCAGAAACAGTTATTGCAGGGTGTCAAATCCTGAAAAGAATATTTCTGTTTGTTCTTCTCTAAAGAGAAATAATAACACAAAAAGCTGTTTAAGACCCTGCTTGTGGAAAAGGTGGGGGAACTAATTACTTCAAGTGGAGAAGGAATAAATCCTGATGTAGCCATTAACTCACTACTCTGCAAAGCCACCTAGAAATTTCTCATTTACTCCACCAGCCCTTGGCTACTGGATAAGACTTGACACGACCCGTGACCAGCGAGCAACTACTGAGGTACCTGAACTATTTTATTAAGATGCTCGCAGCCACAAATCGGGAATTTCAACAGGATCACGAGAAAGGTAACGTTTTATGTTGAAACCCAGTTAAAAAATGCAGGAAAAGCGCTGGCTGCCCCCCTGCAAGCCCACCGCCCGTTCTGAGGTAGCCCAAGTTTGGGCGCTGCGTTCAAGCCCCTCAGGGCTGAACTTTGAGCTATGGGAGCGGGCAGGGCACGGCCGGGCTGGGCTGGGCAGGGCTGGGTAGAGCAGGGCCGGGCAGGGCAGGGCAGCCCCCGCCTCCCGCCCCTCTTTTCTCGCCGGAGCCCGGCCGTCAACGGGCGCCCAACGCCGCGGCGCTGCCCGGAGCCCCCGGCCGCTGGCTGAGGGAGCGGCGCTGTGGCGAGGGCGGCAGCTCCAGCCGCGGCTGTGCCCGTAACCAAGGCGCTGCCAGGCGGGCACACACACACGCACACACTCACACCCTTCACACGCTCACACACGCACCGCACACACAGCTCGGGGGCCGCCTTTGCAGCTCGTCCCCTCCCTGCACCATGCTCCGCTCCAGGCAGCGCCTGCCCGCGGCTCCCTGAGGGGGCTGAGCCCGCCGCCGCCGCCTCCAGCCCGGCGGAGCGGGCGGCTGGCGCCCGGCTGCCCCCCCCCTTGCTGCCGGGTAGCGGAGTTAGCCCCGGCCCCGGGACTTCGGGCAGCCCTTGGGCGGCGCGGGGAGCGAGCCGGGAGCAGCCGGAGGGACCGCAGCCGCCGCCGCCGCCGGGGGAGAGGAGCTCCAGCCCCCGCCTCCGGAGCTCTTGATGGCGTCTCACCAGCAGACCAGGATCCAAGCCTACCTGGAGAAGAACAAGATCGGGCCCCTCTTCGAGGTGAGGCGGGCTCCCCCCGGCCCCCTGCCCTGCCCTGCCCTGCTCCGCGCCGTGCCCCCGCGCCCCTCCGCCGCGCCCCGCAGCCCGGCTCCCCCTGTGCCGTGTGGCGGCGGGGCCGGAGGGGCAGGTGCCGCTCCCAGCCCAGTCCGGAGACGCGGCCGGGAGGGAGAGAGCCGGAGGGCTGCTGCTGGCCGGGGAGCCCGCCCTCGGGACTCGGCTGTCCTACAAAAAACTCTGTGGCCGGCGGCTCTCCGGGAGGTTTTATCCGCAGGCGTATGCTTGGGAACCTTCCTTCTGCTCCAGGTTTTGCTTGGTGTTACGGAGAGGCACCCGCTTGGGTCTGGAGATGCACAGATGTGCATATTTTACTATTTCTGTGCATGAGCTGTGAATACTTGGAATTTAAAAGGGTACTAGAGCAATCATGCCTATTAGCATTTCATCGTCCTGTTTCTCATACGATTTTTAATCTAAATGCACATACATTATTCTACTCTGGCAGTGTTATCCCGAGACACGAGTCTCCCTTTCTTGCTATTCAACTTGCTCTTAGTCAAGCTCGCTACATATGAGATCTCTTTTATTCTGCTTTGTAGGTTCTGAGAGTATAGTGTGGTGGCTATCTGGTCATCAGTACAAGCTTTGGGTAGCCTTTGTCAGCCTGAATAACAGAGGTGAATTATTTTTTTTAACCGTTTGCTGATGGTCAGTTTTTATATTTTGCGTGGACTGAGGCTAGTACGACACATTACATTGCTTCAGTGTCAGAGGTGTTGGATGTTTTCATTTTGCAATGAATAAAATCCTATTTGATCGAACTGTAACTGGGTACTAGGGAACAGTTGGTGGTTTTTCTAGCCCGAGAATTCACAGGAACTGAAACATTTGTGCAGTTCAATTTCTGAACAAAAGCCTGTTCCAGTCAAGGCAGTTGCTAGGTCTGTGTAGGTAACTGACTCCTGCTTCTTTTGGTGGGAGTTAAGTGCCTCACGGTTGTTGAGGAGTTGGGCCTTGACAGCTGTCACTTTCTTCTAAATTTTCATTAGCTAACACATTGTTTTACACATTAAAATTCAGACGACTTGACATCACTTTTTTATGTTTCAACCTAGTTTCTCAGTAGTGTACGATGCTAATTTCTATTGTGGTAATAGTATGATGCTTTAGCTATCAACGGCAGAGAAAAAAAGGAAGAAGTTGTATTTGTTATAGCATTTCATACATTGCAAAATACTTCACTCGTCGCTATGATATAGGGATTTCGTTGTGGTTGAAAGAGTCTGTGGAAAGCTGTTCACATCCCTTAAACCTTGCAGACCGTCCACAGGTGCTCCTGGGCACCAGGAAGCGATTTTTTGGGTCTAGGTGAATTTTGCACACACAAATACTAACTAGGGAGTGGATACAAAGCAGTAGCATTTGCATAGCTGTCGAAAGTTACTGTAGTCCATAACACTAGGAAGAAAGTGATCATAATTCTCGTCTCTATCACTTCTTTATTATCCATTTAAGATCTACTTGTCTTATTTCATTTTGGTGATGTACTTTTTATTCTCAACAGTTTTTTGAAGATCTACAACCTGTGCTTGATCTTGTCTTCCACTTACCGAGGGCTATGTGTTTTTGAAGTTGACAGGAATTGATCAAAAACTATGCATAGGGTCAAGCTTATGCTCTATATTAGTATTTCTGTTATATATGCATTGTGGTGTAACAAGAATACCATGTGTTCACAGTTAGCACATCATTTTTTCATGTCTGTAAAAGTTCTGATATGTTGAGAGACCTATGTTAGTCTTTCATTCAGAAGCAGCCAGCATTTTCTTACGCCACTTGTGTTTTTGATGCTAATTAATCACCAGTTGTCATAGATGACAGCCATCTTTTTTTTGTTGTTGTTGTTTTTGTTTGGCAGTGAGTGCTAATTTTCTAATACCAAGTCAGAACAGAGTAGACATGGATTCAATTTTCTGCCGTGTTATTTGCTGAGCAGGTTGTGACTGTAATTGCTCAATATATGCTTCAAGCCAACGTTTTAAGGAGCGCATACAATAACATTGTGAAATTGAGGGCAATCACAGGAAAGAAGAAAGTGGAAAGCGAACATGGAGGCTTTCTGAGGTGAAGGCAGGGATGGTGGTGTGCAATCAGACCATATTGCATACCTGCAGAAATGAACGGGCAGGGATCAGGAGGACTTAATACCACAGATCTTAATTAAGACTATTCTGCACAGCGAGCTGATGGCTGGAGTACTAGGTGGCTTTCTGATGATGAGGTGTAATTCCCCTGCATTATAGTCAAGGGTCGTGCATGCAATTAGTTGCCCATTGGTCATTCTATTCCAGTTGCTCGCTCTTCTTCTGATAGTGTATCTTCTCTCCTCTCTGGCCTGTGTTTGTGGCCTTCTCCTACCATCATAAGGGCTTGGTGTACTTCATTAACCAGCAGTATCTACCTAAGAGCATCTGTTCTTTTGGACTTCATCTTTTTTCACCTTCAGCTCATGCTGTATATGCAGATGAGTACACTTTTATTTCTTCACCAAATTTTTGTATGATTTGACACTTGAATTATCTTGCTATGAAAGTGTTCAAGAGAAGTACTGGCATGTGAGGTGCAAGAAGACTATAGGCCCTCCTTTTGTTAAAAAAAGTTGTTTCTATCTCTAAAAGAAAGGTGGGAGTAACCTTCTGGGGAACGAATTAATGAGCAGAGGCTGACTCAGCAAGCATCAGTCTCCTGCTGACTACCAGAACCTGTTAACAGATAGTAGGAAGTCCTATCCAGTCAGCTATGAATGGTAACACACACATTCACTTGACTCCAAGCATTTTTACTAGTTAAATTCTTATTTATGGCTTAAAGGTGGGAAGGAATGTGGGTGGGAACTAGTGTGTACATCTGAGACTGTGTCAATTTTAGGACTTAAGACAGATTGAGAAACAGCTTAGATACTTCAGCCCTATCTCCCTCTGTTGAATGTAGGTCCTGAATTTATTTATTTTTTTCAGAATTGCTACTTAGCTGCCATTTCATTTTACAGGTGCTGAAAGTTTTTTTGCAGGTAAAATTCTCCGTGAACCTATAGGTCAACTTCTAGATGACCCAGGCCATGCAGGTGTTATTAGTACTGACAGTAAGCTTTTAAACTGACCCTCTAAATTCTGTCAGATTCTGTTAGGTTTCAGGAACTGACTTATCTATCCTGTTGTGTGTGTGTATGTTTTTTTCTTTTTGTTGTTCTTTTTTCCACTTTGAAAGTTTAGACATCTCCTGTAAAAGTTTACTGGCATCTGGAAACACTGTGGTCAGACACCTAGTTTAGATTTGAGGAATGCCCCTTAGAAACACCTCTCTTCTGTGATGTTTGTGGCAACGCTTAGCATAGCACTGCCTGGCTTTATTTATTTATTTTCCATTTGAGTCTTGGAATGTAAAAAGAATTCTAAATCTGAATTGTTTCTGTGATGAAGGTTCACTGTTGTTTTTTTCCATCTTTCTAAAATGTGAACAGGAGGTATGTGCCTAAAATTGGCTGGGACAGAGTATTCAGAATCTGCACCCACTCATTTCTGTCTGAGTGAAGTATTGACCCACTTTGCATTTCAAGCATCCAATCCAACAAATTCTTTTCTTGTGCTAATAATCTCAATGAATAATTGTAATGCCTGTGAGTATCTATACATATAGACTTCTGTGCAACTGCATCTCTTCGGCATTTGGTTGTGTTCTCATTTGGGCAACCTGACAGTTTCTACGAATTTGAAAGCTGGATCAGCACTCTTAAGAACAGCTTGCAATAAATCTTCAAGAGCTCTGAGATAAATTTAGTGTTTGGGAGTTTTCTTATTTATAGAACTGCAGCTAAAAAGAATCAAGCAGGTATATTGTTGTTATGCAAACCAGGAAACTGTAATTTGAGTTATAAAACACCAAAATAACTTCTCAAAGTAAACATACTTAAGGATTTTTCTCAAAGTAACGTGGGCTTAGAAATATAATTAATTCTAAACACCATAAAGATTGTGTTCACATGATCACACTTACCTTGTTTTCTTTTAGCAGACAAAATTCCTGAATCAAATACAATAGGAATTTTTTTTTTCCCCTAAATGGATTATTACTATTAGTGTATATTGTCCACCAACTTTTATTATTTAATTTTAATAAAGTAGCTATGTTTCTAGCTTAAACGTAAGCCTTAACATACCCTAGTGCACCTGCTTGGTGAATTACACTACTTATAGTGCACCTTGTGACCGAATTAGTCAAAGTTGGGAGTGAATTTTGGAGTATAGGCCATCTTCTGCAGGAACATTTGCCCTCAGTTCTTAAAAGTACAAATGTAGGGACAGTCAACTTCAGTGTCTCAGTTACTGGTTTAAGATTTCTCACAATACCAAAGTATTTTTTAAGGTACAGTATCTGTGATGTGATGGATAGGGATGCTTTCACACAGTTGTTTTCTTTTGAACTTGCTCAAATTATCTTTTATTTTATGTTGATGTTATGCTTAATTGGTTGGATTCTGTCCCTAGGATGGTAGAGTCTGTATTCTGGATGATGTGAAATTATCCAGAGAAGCATTCAGTTTGAGCAATTTAGACGAAGCTTTTGAAAGACCAAGTTTTTCAGTACCTAGACATGATGAGCATAATTTGAAGTACTACCTGGTTATCTAGTGGCATTGTTTCAGCCCAGCAGTCCCTCCGTCTTTCAGAGGAGCCAATGTTTGCTGTTTTTCAAAGGATGTATGGAAGCTAGCATTGGTCTGGAAATGCCTCATTGCTACCCACGTTGGGGCTGGAGGATTGTAGGTAAATTTTAATTACGTTTTTTTTTTTTGTTGTCTGCTGCAGTAGGACTTTATAGTAGCCTTGATGTGCACTGAAGTAAAAGAAAGGAGAATGAAAGTCAAATGGAAAAAATGATGCAGAGAAGTCCTTTGTTTTTCAGAGCGTTCGCTATGCCTTCAACTAGTTGTCTTGGTAAAGTTG